ATAGGCTTCCTGACTCCAAGTCCAGTGTTTCTTTTGTTAATGTTATTTATTGTCAATTACAAGTTAGCTTCAATGTATCTCTGAAACATTGCTATGTCTACCCTGTGTAACCTGGTCTCTCTAAACATGAATTTCACTAAGCTTAACTGAACTCATGAAGACATTATGTTTATGTGTACTATAGTAACTTATGTTTCTAATATAGATTCATTGTCTAAAGATATTTGTCTAAGTCTGTTAAAAAGATCCCCCCAGATTTAAAATGAGGAAAACAAGGTTTCTAATTACTAGAAAAATTCTACTTAAGTCCCAACAACAACAAAAAGGTGCTTAATTTGGGAGTTTCTTAAATTATAAATTAGCATTCTCCTCGTTACATCCACATAGGCCAGACAGTAGTATTGCCTTTCTGTCTTTAATTCCTCAGAATCTTTCCACCCAAATGCACTGCCATTACTGAAGCCTAGAATGATCTCATTTAGTAAAGGAGCTTCTTGCCCTTTCATTAGGTCCTAATCTAAATTACAGTATAAAGACACAAGGCTCTGTACTCGCAACTGGCTCATGATAAAGAGCACTGGCTGGCCATGTGGCCTGATGAAGTCCTGGGACACAGAAGGGTCTTTTTTGGACTTTATCAGTCTTAGAGCAGGCAATTTATTTTGAGCCAGAAAAATAAAATATAATCTCAGGCCATCTGGTTCTGTAACACTCTATATTTGTTTAGAAAGGTCACTGTTGTCAAGTTACTGAATGTTATCTCCGGAACTGACAGGAAGAAAGAAGTTTTTGAAAACAAGCCAGGAATATTAAAGCATCGGATATTAAGGTGTAAAGTAGTATTTAAAAGCTTGGGCTTTTGGGTTAAACAGACCACAGTTCAAATCCCAGCTTCACAACCTTCTAGTTAAATGACTTTGGGCAAGTCACCAGCTTAACCTATTTTTCCCATCTATAGAACCTAGATAATAGCACTCTAGAGGGCTATTATAATGATAAAATGATAAAGACATATAAGTCACTAGCTCAGTCACCATTCAAAACTTACTCAATAATTATTACTTTCTGTGCAATTTTTTTTCTCATTTTTCTTTAGTTTTGCATGAAACTTAATTTTCATGATTTCTTCTCCAGAATTTAAATATAGTGGAATTTAAATATAGACACACAATTTATGTTACGTTTATTAAATATGTGGGTTAAGAGTCTGTCCAAACAAAAACTTCAGTCTATCTCAGCATTTAAGTAACATTCACTTCTTTTGAAAATCAAATTTAGAGCAACTATTACTTTTTTCGGAGAATGACTGGGTTGCTGTGTCAATAAAGAATGAATATTAAGCACTATCAATTCTGTATCTGAACAACTTCAGTGGAGTAATACTGAGTTTACTGAACAATTGTTCAGTATCCTGATGTTGTTATACAATAGTTAGTTGCTTTGTATTAGGTAGTTTTCGATTATTGTTTCACAGTAGGACTAAGACCCAGCTACTTCAGTAACAAGACATCCAGAGTTGATTTAGACAGGCTACTTAAGCACTTTCCCTTTATGAGATTAGCAAAGGGATTAAAAGTACACAAATAATCTTTAAAAACAACTTAATCAAAACTCCACCCAGAATGTTGCCAAAGAATTATGTTTTCAATTCAGCAGGCCAGATTCCAGAATGACTTATATTAACACCTTAAGTATCTCAATGGTGGGTAAATACTTCACCTGCACTTTGGTAGGACTGGCCATCATGATGAACTGAATTAATTACTCCCTTTTTCTACTTCAAATATTAGCTACTATGTAGTTTCCTATTTGATGTCAACAATACAGGCATACATCTTCAATATGAACCACTGGATGGGTTCTCCACTTTCTTTCATAATATTGACCTAAAAGATCTGGGAGTTATTTTTTTTTTTTAATTTCAAACTCCAGGATCCAATAAGACAACTTTTAAAGATCAACATTAGTCTAAAACATGCTTATTGAGTTAAGGGCTAGAAAATAAATGAATCGGAGAAATCTATAAGCCTACACCAAAATCCATACAAAAATCTCTTCTGACCAACCTTCACTTACACAACTTGCTATATAAATCCACACTCTCTATTTCTTCTCCAACCATACAGACATAGCCCAGGACATGCTGAAAATGCCCACCCTGTGCTCTCCAGTGCACCCCTCACGGTTTTGCTCCCAATGCTGCACTGTATGTTTTCCCAAAACCAGTGGTATTTGTTCAAAAACCTCATTAGGGAGTTTTGCTGTCACCATAATTAGCTAATTTAAATATCAAATAGGCCATGTAAGCAAAAATAAACTGTCTTGTATCTTTAAAAGCTGAGTCAAAAACTTTGAAAAGACTTAATAAAGGCAAGTCACTACAGAACATTGTTGTTGAAATGACAAAGGTAAAAGAAAGATAAAAACTGGGAAAATCATAAAACATAGGAGAGGCATTCTCATACCTTGGCGAGGAGGCCTTAGGAGAATGGATTTGCTGAACTCCACCACCCTTGGTTTCAGATTCAGTAGTTATGGGGTGAGACCAAAGGATACACATGCTAAATAATTCCAATGTGATGCTGATGCTACTGGTCTGGGAACCACATGTTGAGAACCACTGCTTTTCAATGTCTAAATTTTTAATTCACATTTTAAAAAGTGAAAGCTGGATATGATTTGTTATGAATGTAGATTTATCAAAAATTTGTTCTGATAAGCAAACCATACTACAGGGAAAGGTCTTGGTCCTAATCATAAGACAGTCTATTTATGTTTTGAGTTAAAATGTTAGTGGGATGTGAGCATCGTTTTTTATGACCTACTGTTTTAACTGACTTGTTCAATTAATTAACAAACTGAGAGCCAAACTCATAAGAAGAAATCTTGTCTAATATGGGCCATAAAAATACCACTAGACTTCGAAAATCCCTTTACCTTACCTATTTGTGAGAGGGAAATTCTAACATGATAACTTCCTTATTTAAAAAACTTCCTAAAAACACAAAGCCTTTAAAATAAAAGGTTAAATATCACTGTCTCCAATTTAAGATGAGATTTTAAACTTGGAGAGGATAAGAAACTTATCTAAAGGGGTAAATAAGCCAAGTGGCAGAGTCAAGACTTGAATGCAGATTTAGCCCCAAACTCAGAGCTGGATTTTTTTTCTTCTTTTTCAAATCTTACAATATTGCAGTATAACCTTTGGAAGAGTCAAAAGAGAGTTATAAACAACATTGGGATCCCAGTCAACCTAAACATCTGTAAAACAGAAAATGCCCAAACTTAAATAACTGTGAGAACTAGATAAATACAAGCATTATTACCTGCTATCTTAAACACATTCATAAATATCATCTACAAGCTGTACTTACTTTTAAATGGCCAGACAAGATCACCAAATACAGGACACTGGAAAACAGCTGGTCTAACAGAATTAAAGCAAGGTTTTTGGCAACACAAGTCCACTTATGTAAAAATCTGTGAAGAATGGATGACAGAAATATTCACAAGTAGATGCAGCAGGGTAAGTGAAAGGGAGACAATCACATTAAGAGTGAGTCAAAGAAACATATTATGTATACGCTGAAATAATACATCCAAAGATAAAGCATTTATGGGCTGTTTGGAAACAAGAGTAGACAGACAGACCAGTGACAACAATCGCCATTACGATGATGCCATTAAAGCAAGTTTATCATTTTAGAAACTAGAGGTAGAGACAAAAAGCACCTTATCTCCATTTTACAAGGTGATACATTCATGTAGGACATGAATTCTAGAAGAGGACAATATCAGCTACATCATGAAGGAATTCAAATGTCCAGTTTTATATAATCATTTTAATATGTTTAGAACACTGGCGCCAAGCAGTGTTCTACTGTTTGAGGTCAGGAAACAGAGTGAAGATTTGACATAACTAGGAAATCTCCTAAAATAACTATTGTGTTTCTTTAGAAAGTGAATAAGAAGTAAATAAAGATGTAAAATATTAGCAGGAAGTTAGGAACCTAGGAATGGTTAATATGGCCACAATAAAAGAAAAAGAAAAAAGAGAGAAAGAAAACAGAAAATAACAAGTGTTGACAAAGATGTAGTATACTGTTGGTAGGAATGTAAAATGGTCGAGCCATTATGAAAAACAGGATAGACGTTCCTCAAAATATTAAAAGTAGAATTACCATATGATCCATCAATCCTACTTCTGGGTATATATCTAAAAGAATTGAAAAAAAGGATCTTAAAGAGATATGTGTACACCCATATGCATTATTCACAATAGCCAAGAGATGGAAGCAACCTAAATGTCTGTCAACACAATAGCCACGAGATGGAAGCAACATTCAACCTAAATGATGAATGAAGAAAGAAAATGTGGCATACACATATAATGGAATATTACTCAGTCTTAAAAAAGGAAATAATATGCTACAACATGAATAAACCTGACTTAAACATGGAAAAACTTACTTAAAATATTTGACTTTATGCTAAGTGAAATAAGACAATCACAAAAACACAAATAGTGCATGATTCCACTTACATAAAATATTTAAAGTATCAAACTCTAAGAAACAAAAATAGTGATTACCAGAAGCTAAGGGGAGGGAGTGAGGGGAGATACTCTTCAATGGGTGTAGAGTTGCAGTTTTTCAGGATGAAAAAAATTCTAGAGATCTGTTGAACAACAACAAACATAATTAACTATTGGAATGTACATTTTAAAATGGGTAATATGGTTTTAAAAAAAACCTAGAGATAAAAATTTCTTGAAAACTCTGCTAAGATAACAGAAAAAAGAATAGGAAAGCTTCAGCAGACCTTGCTTAAAACAAAAGTTGCACAAGAGTAGATTCAATTTTAATCATTGTACTCTCTCAAAAACACTGATTTCTGTATGATTCTAGGAACCTATGACTTAACTTTGTTATTTATAACAGAAAGGAGGTATGCCATATCAGAATTACTTGGAGAACTTTTAAAATATTGCTTATTCTCACCCAGAGAGATGCTCCCAGTTGAGTGAGCCATCATTAGTGATGCAACTGTGCTATATTCTTCAACTGGGCTGGGACTGCAAACAGATTGAGAATTTCATTTTTACATGATAGTTTAAATCAGTAAGAAAATTCAATTCAGTCACTTTTCCTATAATAAGGAAATTACATATATTGTTTGATATAATTAAACTTTCTTCACACCATGAAGCTAAACATGGATTCTATTTTCTGAAGGCATATGTAATACATTATGAATGTGGCAGCTCTAAACTGCAATGGACAATCTTTGTTATGAGATCACATCTCCACTGGGCTAGGTACCCATAGAGAACAAAATCAACAATATATGGAAAATGCAGACAGAAATACCTCTTACAACTTCTGAAATATTCTGCCCAGAACATTTCTCTTTTTGACAACCCTCTCCTATATGAATATATCTCCAGATGCATTTTCCCTATGATTTCCTCTGTTCTCCAAAGCCGTTTGCTCATTTTTTCTTTTCTATATTTAGAGAATGAGAAAGAACTAAATTTTCTATACCCAAACTTTCAGAAACAAAATAAAGGGTCTCTCTCATTTCTATATATTACTGTTTCATCTCCAGAGAAACAAATCTACAATTTAAAAACTTAGGGTTAATGGAATCATTTCACACAGACTTTGGTGCATTTTTCTTATACTCTATCTTAAAAACTTATTGGTGTGTGGTGGGATCATAAAATGAAGCCCTTAAGAGGATCTATGAACCAACATGCTCTATTATCTTAAAGAGTACACAAATACATTATTTAATGTGGAAATTATACATTATAACCTCTATTCCATATGGGTATATTTGGGCTGTGTAATATCTTCTATTTCTCAATTCCTGCCCTCTTTTGCGTTAAATAGGTATTTCACAGTGTGCCTTTTTCATTCCCATGTTGTTTCTTTCACTATAATTTTTTGAGTTATTTTCTTAGTGGTTGACTTGGAAATTACAATTAGCATTTTAACTTAAAACATTCTAATCTATATTAATACTAACTTAATTTCAATAATAAAAACTTTCCTCCAATGTACTTCCCTTCCCTTTCTTTTGACTACTATTGAAATCAAACTACAACTTTTTATGTTATAAGCCCATCAACACAGTTTTATCACTATGGCATTATGCAGTAGTTGTCTTTTAGGACATATAGAAGAAAAAAATTACATACACAGAAAAATGCATTTATGTTTTTATAAGTATGTCTTTCATAATACCTACGTAATTACCTTTACTATTGGTCTTTCTTTGTGTGGATTAGAGTTTACTGCTTAGTACCCTTTTAATTCAAATTGTAAGACTTCCCTTAATATTTCTTACAGTTCAGGTCTGCTAGGGACAAGTTCTCCCAGGGTGGTTGTTCTTTTTGCAAGTATCTTAACTTCTCCTTCACCTTGAAAAAAGACCTTAGCTAGATACCAAAATACTGGTTTACAGAATTTTTCTTTCAACACTTTGATAAAGTCTTCTACCCTCTGTGGTTTTTGATAGGCAGCTACTAATCTTACTGAAGATTTCTTTTATATGATAAATTACTTTTTCCTTGTTGCTCTCAAGAGCTCTCTCACTTTTGTAAATTTGACTATGACATGTCTAAGTGTCAAACACTTTGGGCTTATTCTATTTGGAGCACAGTGAGTTTCTTTAAAGTGTAGATTAATATTTTTCAGCAAGTTTGGAAAGTTTTGTGCCATTCTTCTTTAAACAGTCTTCCTGCCTCTTTCATTGCTCTTCTCCTTCTACACCTTCCATTATGCTTATGTTGATACACTTCGTTTCCTGAAGTTCTGTTCATTTGTAGTTTCTTTCTACTCCTTACACTGAATAATCTCTACTGAACTACCTTCAAGTTGATTAGTTCTTTGTGAATTTTTCATTTCAGTTATCAACTTTCAAACTCCACAATTTCTTTATGGTTCTTTTTCAATTTCTGTGTTTATTGACACTCTCTTTGGTAAGATATCTCATAGTTTAATTTTTTAGACAAGGTTTCATTTAGTTTCTTGAACATGTTTATAAAACTGACTTAAAGTCTTTGTCTGTTAGGTCCAATTCTGTGCTTCCACAGGGACATTTTTCTGTTGGCTGGTTTTTGTTTGTTTTCCTGTGTATGTGATACATTTTCCTGTTTCTTGCATGTCTCAAAGAATTTTTTTGTTGAAAACTGATCATTTTGGATAGTGTACCAAGTCTGGTACAGAATTCCCTGCAATGCCCCAGGAAGATTTTTCGCTACTGGTTTATTATTCTTTTTCTTGGTGCTGCTTCTTTGTTTAGCACTTTAGTGAATTAATTCTGTAGGTTCTGTATTCCCTGTAGTTCATAGCCCTTGAGTTTTCTGCTGGATTTTTTTCTTAAGCTCTTGTTTTTATTTTTAAGCCTGGCTTCCTAGGAGTCATACCTGGATGGGTATAAGTTAGTGACCAACCGATGACTGGTCAAAAGATATTCTTAAATGCCTTTCCTATACATCTTTCACCCTTTGCTAATGGAATCTTTGTGAGGAGTCACACCTTCAAACTTCAGGCAGCTTATAAGATAGCCCTAGCTTTCACATCCTGCTTGCCCCTGAGGCTTAAGATCACCCAGAGGTGATCCTCTCCTTTCCCCAGGTCTTTCCTAGATGTGTGCACAGCTTGTACTTAGTGCAGCTTTTTATATACCCAGGAATATGCTGATGCTTTTCAAAGTTCCCTATAGTTGCCTAATTCTCCAGGATTTCTTTTAAGTTCCTAGCCAGGCTCCTGTGTGCCCCAACTGAAATCACAGCCTTAAGTGGTGGAGATGTTGCCAACAGTTGCTATTGTTTCAGGGAAGCCCTGGGATGGGCTTTTTCTTCCCCACAACTGAGCTGAGCACTGAGTCAAATAAAAAAGCCAATAGTTCTCTGAAAATAGTTTTCCCAGGGAGCTGCAAGTTCTGACAAAATATTAACAGTGTTCTGGGGATAGTGCTTTTAATGGGTCTCCAAAAGTAGTCAGTCATAACTCTCCACTGTCTGCAATCCTGCCAGCTTTTGCTGTGCCGCTGGGGAAAGAGGGAAAATGGGAGTAGTCACAAGTTAAAATTCACAGATCTCACTGTCTTCCCAAAATTCAATAGTTTTCCCTTGGACAGATGACTTTCAGTTCATTCTTTGGCTTCAGTTAATTGCCAGAATTCTGAAATGGTTCATTTTAGTTGATTTGCCCATGTTTTTGTTGTTTTAGAGGAAAAGTACATTGAGGCCTCACTCCACCAATCTGGAAGCCAATCAAGCTATGTAATATTTTAAATCTATCTTTATGTAGGTTTTAAGACAAAAATGCATTTTAACCAGACAAAATGTTGTTTAAAAAATATTTTTAGATCACTGATTCTTTTCCCTAGTAGAAACCTATGAAAAAAAAAAGTCTACATTGCAATATTTAAAGTTAAATAGGAGGGAATCTGGTCTGTGAGAGGGAAAAATAAACTGCACAAGCAAGGTCTCAGTATATTATATCTTTCCTTAGGTAATATGTGAATCATCTAAAATAAAGGTGATTCCTGGTCTTAGATCCAGTCTCAGCCCCAAAAGATACCTCCAGTCACTTCTGGACAACAGAATAAGTTTAAGTGAGGAAGAAAGGCTATTCCATCTTGTCTTACTTGGCAGACATAGGCTAAATCCACTTCAATTCTGAGAGGGATTTAAAGAAAAGCCACAATAAAGGCTGGCAGTGAGAAATTCAACAGACAAATCAGACCTGAGCAAAGGAAGCAATCCTCTCTCTCCCAAGGTGTGTCTGAAGAGACTCAGCACAGAGAAATCACATTTACCTCAATCACCCAAGCATCAAAGAAACCCATCCTGTTAAGGCACAGTAAGATGAGCTTTTGGAGAGGAAGAGTTACTCTTTACTATTTTCTGTCTTCAACACTGCCTGATATTGGCAAGCCAGATGAAGACTAAAACTGTCAAAACAGACCAAGAAAAGTCAACAACCTTCAGCAAAACTTGTATTTTCAAGAACACATTACACTTCTTCTGCTTTTCTATTTCTGTGTAACAAACCACCCTAAAGCTTAATGCTCAAAAAAATAACCATTTTATATGCTCATAATTTTGCAGTAGGGGGTGGGCTCACCTAGCCAGTTCTGCTCATTTTGCTAGTGATCACACATATACCTGTTCTCAGCTGGTGGGTGGGAATTGGGCTCAACTGAAATACTAGGATGGCTGGGCTTCTCTCTCATGCCATCTCAGAGTCTCTCTCTCCATGTGCTCCTTTTACACGTGCTCTTTGACACATGCTCTTTCTAAAAATATAACCAGATTTCTTAAATTCGGGATCAGGTCTTCTAAGAACACAAAAGCAAAAGCTACCTAGCCTTCTTAAAGCTTATGCCCAGACCTGGAACCACTTTAATTATGCTATATTCTCTTTTTAAAATAAGTTACAGGCCAGTCCAGATCAAAAAGAAAGCAACTTCACAAGAGCATGAATACTCAGATATGTGGTTCATTGTAACTATCATCAATGCAATAAACAACTAAAACATTAAGGCCAATGTTCAGGTGACTGGAGTGGGAGGGCAACCACAAGGAACTATAAAATGGCTAAATCTAATGAACACTGGGCAATTACAGTCAGATTCCATTTTCTATTCTTTCCTATACAGAGGGTCAATCTAGATTCTGTGAGAATCTTAATTATAGATGGAAAGAAAATAAGAACCTGGTTAATCACTTCGAAGCCACATGACATTGGAGAACTCAATCATTCTCTCCAAACCTCAGCTCCTCAATCGTAAAATGGAAAATTATATCGTCCTGCTTTTCCTATAGAAGACAGTATAGAACAAATAAGACAAGAAATGAGGAAGAGCTTTGAAAACTTGCTATTAAATATAGGTATTAGTTATCTGACAGGATTCTAAATATAGTCAACCTTGCTAAGTTCCTTTCTACTAGTAAAATTATAATAATCATTGTTAAACACCCCTTATGCTAAATTACTACCACAGCAATATTATATATAATAATGGGCTGAAATTACATGTTTTGTTACTATGTAGAGT